TCAATTATTTTTCTCGGTCTTCCATTTCTTGGAAGTTTTGCTGTACCGTCGCCATACTTCTTATATTTCTGATGATATTTCCTTCTGTACTTAGTGCTAGATTCATTTCTTTGCTAATTTTTCGGTAACCTTGTCCTCCTTTGTGACGTTCAATGATTCTATCTCGCATATCTCTGGATAATTCTTTAGTTTTTGCCATTTTTAATCCTTGAATTGTAGAATGCACATTAAAGTGTCAGATGATTAGTAGCACTGTCTTGTAAACAATTGTGTGCTTCTCTGATTGGTCAGAGATAACATTCCAATACTATTGAAAATTTGAATTAAATAAATAAGTCTTTTAAAATACAAAGTTTCGATTGGAAATTTGAAAAAAGTGTCATGTATCCAATACTTTTGCATAGGGTAATTTTGTACTTTGATAAAAAATATGGATTCAACCATGAGTTTTAATTTTCCTTCCACATACAACTAAAACAACTTTATGAGATATTACTTAAAAATATCAGGCAAAATGGCGAACATAAACTAGAGTTATAACAGAAAATAACATGTATCCAATACTTATGTGTGTCACTATATATATATATATATATATATATATATATATATATATATATACACACACACACACACACAAATGAGAGAAAGAACAGATGGAGTAAACATGCACTGTTCATAGCATTTACTTTTTAAAAAGTGCTCAATACAAAGTAGAGCAATATATTATTATATTTTTATTATAAAAGATTATAATAAAAACATTTTGAAATCGCTACACAAAAGCTTTCTTGTTTCAATACTATGATTGTACTTCTTCAGGCGATAGTAAGTAACTGGGGATTAAATTACCTCTTTTCCGAAAGTTAAAGGTGGAGGGACATAATGTCAGAATTAAAAATAGGCTTGTGGGTATGTCTTGATTAACCAATTAAATGTCAGATCTACGCCAAATAGAAAAGTAAGCTCTGGAGGTGGAGTTATTTTTTTCATGTCACGATAAACTGGAACATAGACAGGCCATCATTGACGATTGTGAAAAATATGGCAGTGACAAATGTATTGTGATCATAGACAAATATGACATGTTCAATTTGTTGAAGTGAGTGGTGGGTTAATCAGATGTAAAGTTAACAGAAAAAATAAAAAAACATTTTTATATTCAGAAGGCTTCTTAAAGGGGCCTCTAGATAAAATTAAAAATGTGGAACATCTACATATGATATTAATAATACTAACTAGACAGCAATACATAGCAATGTTTTAGCTGAATAAACAAAATAAGGTAATTACCTGTAGAATGTGGACCATTATATACTAATAATTTATGTCTATAACAAATGGTAATATGTAAATTTTTTTAAAATTTTAACTATATTTTAAGGTAAAAGAAACTGTGTTGGCAATTTACAGTTAATTCACACCTTTCGTTTAACAGATTTTTTTGTCAGCAAAATTGATTATTTGTAATTTTTCATGTAAACATAAGAAGCACGGTTCATTTAAAGATTTGCAAGTTCTAATTATTTTATAATATAAACGGTAGTGTCAGAGCTATGCCGCCCGAACTTCGTTCCTGGTAGGGCCACCCAAAGCGGACAGGTCTGACACACACGCCAGCTAACAAGGGCTCTGGTGAAAATCCAAGGGCGTCTGCGCCGGTAACCGCGGCTTCTGGTCGTTCCTGTCTCTGCATCTGTGGGAACCCCGCGGCAAGCAAGAACGTTATCCGAGTAGGCCTGGGTACCCTACTTCTGTAATTTATCCCAAGAATCTTCTTCTCATAACAGGAAGAAGCCGGCTCAATCCGCCCAGGGTGAATGCCGCATCAGTACAGTACAGTAATCATAGTATTGAAACATGAAAACTTTTGTGTAGTGATTTCAAAATGATTTTATTATAATATAATAAAAATATAATAATATATATATATATATATATATATATATATATATATATATATATATATATTATTCCTCATTGGTACCACAATTTGGAGTTTCATGCATAATGCAATCCTCAGGTGCTGAATCTAATTCGTCAATCTTATTCAATAGAATAGACTGAGTTTGTGTTGAAAATAGAAATTTAACCGTGAAAGCTATAAAAAACAAAAACCAATACAGAATTTATCCACTTCAATGTTTCAGTCAGACGAAACTTTATAGACAGTGGTCCAAGCAGGGTGTGGAAGGTATTATATATATATATATATATATATATATATATATATATATATATAAAAACTTCAAACATTATTTTTAATGGGTACTCATGTTTGAGTAGATGCCATATTTTTCAAATAGTGGATATTACATCTACCAACATGTGTGCTCAAGTAAAACAGATGGTTAGACATTATACACACTGTTCTAAAAAAAAACTGTGGCCTCTAGTCAAACATAGATATCCACTAAAAATAATGTTTGAAGTGATAAAAAAAACCCTACTTTCTTAAATATAAAAAGTGAGAAAGAGAGTAGATTTTATTAAGGTTAGTTTTAGGAGTCACAACCTTTTGCTACTACTGTTTAAGTATATAAGATAGTTATGGGAGAGTGGTTTTGCCTAATTGTTTACATGCCTATTATCTTCTTCAATCATCTTGACATGCTGCAGATGAATCTCTTTGGCAATGAGATAGAACAACATTCATGCTTTAAGGGCTTTAACCCCTCCCTCGCCAATTATTTTGGGTAAGACATTTCATTTTAGACAATTTTTTCTATTTGATTATAATATAGTAACTAAGAAACTGAGGCACCTTGAAGTACCCGAGCAGTGGCTAACACCTCAACCAGACATATGAGTTGACAATTGGACTCGTTTCAAGCTCAGAAGGGCATAAAAAGAATCAAGATCAACGTATTAACACGTCTGTAGCTGGTTTTTGAACTTTATATTTTGGACGTGTTTTATTTGTCCATGTTTGAAAAAGATACTTTCTGTAAAAACGTAAATACAATGGGGAAGTGGTTAATACAAAATGAGAATAAATACTTAGCTGAAATTTGAACTTGGTTCATAGACATTGTTTTCAGTGCTGTTAACCATTATGACAGTCTGTATTTTCTAACTTACCTCACTCTCATACATAATTTATCAAAACCTAGAAGTGACACTTCTAGAATCACAAGATAAGTTTGGCAAATAGAAAATACAAAGGAAGCACTCCTCTTTCTGCTTTCTTTTGGGAATGCTGTTGATAATGAGAAAGAGGCACCAAGAATTACATGAAAAATATTGGCCATGGTCAGGGCTTATAATAGGAATGGTAAAAGATATGATTTATGCCTGACAGAAAATGGGCCGTAATCTATTGTATTTTACTAAGCATAGATTAGATGTGGCACAAGGCCAAAAGTATGGAGAACCTAATGAGGATTGAACTTGTGATTCAGTTGTCTTTGATCTAATGAGACAAGGTTGCTAACCATTATATCACATCAAGGTGCTCTGGGCAGTAAATCTATTGAACAAAAGAAAGGAATTAATGGCTTTATGTAGACACAAAAGCAAGTATTTGATCAAAAATAAACATGCAGTGTAGTCGAAGCAATCTATCCATCCATGGTCTATTTAATGTAGGCCACATGGAAGAAAATCCCAAGAAAAGACTTCTTCAAATCTCATCAAAAAACTTTAGAAAACTATTGCAGCAAATTTATAAAGATGAGAGGCCATTAATATTGTGAAAATTGTTTAATTTTTTCTATTTTTCATACAGGACAAACAATTTTGTCTTTCCTATTTTGCATAATTCACCTGTCAAATTTGTTGTATTTAATCTATTGTTCTGAAAATTGAGTTTTATATTCCTTTTTTGTGTTTATTAACATATAATAAAACTGACATCATATGGGCATTACATTCTGCAAAATGCATAAAAATATTCAAAATTGATGGGTGTACAAATAATTTTGTCATTGAATGTATATATATATATATATATATATATATATATATATATAGCTGGACACTCGTATTTGTGGGTACCTGTTTACTAGGGTGACTAGCCATTTCCTATTGCAGACGTCTGATCGGGCACATTTGTGTTTGTTCAACACCGATAAAGCGCACATGTGGTTTATACTACAACTATGCTGAGAAAATGTTAGTTGCAATTTCTGGAAGAGTGTATGTTATCTAGTGTGATCAAGAATTTGAACAAGGCCAGCTTTGATTACAATGACTTGTAACTGTGCTAGCACAGCCATCGACAGCCCCCTGTTTACCTAATTTCATTCACGAGGTTTGGGTCAACACATGAGATGATTTTCAGGTACTAGTCTAAAGGTGCTGCACACTGGGATCATCCTCCTCCAGACCAATAACATCAAGAATTCACCTTCCTGACAAATCGACCATGGTGAGATTTGAACCTGCATTTCAGGGTCAGAAAGTGAACGCTCTCACCGCTCTGCCATGCACCCACTTTATATATATATATATATATACACACACACACACACACACACACACAATGTTTGAAAACTGTAATAGTGCATCTCATAAGAATTTATCAAATGATAAGGTTGGAGTTAGGACAGATTTTGGAATGACAGCATTCATTATCACTGACCCAGTGTGCTCCAGAAAACCTCCGAATATCACCAAACTTTGTTGTTCCGAATCATGTTTTTAGGAAAACCAGATCCATATAAATGCCATCTCTGCCTATATTTCTCCTTTACCAATGCATATAGTCATGTTTATGTACAGCACAGTTTAATGTCTTTGATTAATGTTATATTAGAAAGTTCCAACTTCAAACATTCCAGCTCTTTGTTGGTATCATCATTATATTTGAAATGTGTTGTTCCTTATGTTAATTCCACGTTTATGGAAACAATCTGTCACATAAGATGAATTAAAACATGCTTCAAGTGTAAAACACATTACAATTTAGCAACTGATTTTAAGTGAATGTGTTTTATAGTCAATATTATCTCTTCTTCAAATAAATGTTAACATTTTTTTTTTTTTTTTTTTTTTTTTAGGAGGAACCAATGTTACCTGAGCGAAGGCCACGGTCTTGCAGTGAGTCACTGTCCATTATTACACCCCCAGCTATGGCCTGTGGATCTCCCTCACCACCCAGAGTTGGCAAGGTAATTTGAAACAGTTTATTACACTATAATTTATCACATAATTACAGGTTTTTACTGTTTTCTTAATTTTCATTATGGTGAAAGTGATTCATGATACCATATTAACGATATGTAAAGCCGGTTTGATCATATATTAAATAGTTACATATTTTTTAATGCATAGGGAATAATTGCTAATTATTAGGAGTTTGAAAGTTTTTAGTATGTTATTATTTTTTTTTCTGTTTATCTGTTCTCTATCAAAAAAGAGGCTGCAAACTTTTGCACATATTATTTCCACATGAATACTTTTAAGGTTTTTATTTATGGTTTCTTTTTCTTTTCTGATATATGCCCTATCAGAATAAATGCTATCATGAAAAGCTAGATAGCTTCACCTGGTGGAGAAATTGTGTAACAGAAAAAAATGGATGTCTGTGAAAAATAGATGTATTTATCTGATTTCAGTATCAGTTATCGACCTTGATTTCATTAAACAAAATGCGGTTTTCATTTTGATATTTACTAAGCTTGATATAGCCAGTTTTTTTTTTTTGTTTTACTGTTGGTTTAGTATTCCACTTGTTGAATATTAATTAATTCAACAAATATTTTGGAACTTAAAATTTTTTTAAGTTCAACTCCGAGAGTAGAATATTTGTTTGAAATTGTTTTAATATTAATTTAATAATTTAAATTAAAGTATAAATTAGATATCTAATGTTCTAAAAATTATCATTTTTATTAAAAATATCCTTCAAAATTTCTGTTTTAAAGTTTTAGAAAAGTTAAATTATTACATGAAATAATTCATTTTTATTAAATTTGCTAAAACTTTGAAAAGTAAAAAGAGTTGAAAATATAAATTTATTTTTTGGGGTTGAAGAAGAAAAGCATACATTGTAATGTTTTATTTTTTTATTTTGCTCCATTAGTGATGTTTATTTTAATTTCCTCATGTTAGAAATGGTAATTTACAAATTGTATCTTAAATGAAGCAAAAAGCCACAAATATGGAGCACCCATGTAGGATCACACTATTCAGTTGTAATTGAATTAACAAGACAAGCTTTTAAACCATTAAACCACATTGAAGTGCCCAACTCGTTTTAAAAATATTTTATATTATTTCTGATTTTATAGTGATGATTGTACATAACTAGGTTTCAATAGAATTTGCATTTTATGAATTCTTGTTTATGAAAATTGACATGTTGAGGTGAGGCCCTGTGGGGAAAATGAAATAAAACCAATAAAATAATAATAATGAATTAAAAAACCAAAAAAAAACCTTAATTCTCTCATGATGCAAGTTATAAAGAAATGTGGGTTTTCGGTCACATGTGTGATTTTTATGACCCTACATCTAGAAAGGACAGAATCTTTCTCTTTACACTTTTCAATGACATTCAGACACGTTTCGGCAGTCCTCCTCATGAATTGGTCATTTCAACTCAACACAAGGCTGACTTTTAATCCTTGTTACCCTGACTTAGTTCTGAACTAAAAAGGAAAACGGACATATACAAGAGACATTCAGAACTTTGTTTTACTACAGTCCCTATAAAAAGAATAAACATCCATAAGTTTTGTATGCTTCTTATTTCTTTGTTTACATATTGAACATGCACCTTCATTTAAAATACACACAAACACACAACCTGTTAACTTCCATAATTAGTAACTCCCCCCAAAAAAAAACATTTAAAAGAAGCATATCCATACGACATACTAACTACCTTTGGTGTATCCTGGGAATGGTTACCTTCTATATGAAATGTATTCCATGAGCAGCAGACATTCTTCTAGCACCCCCTGAGCTGATAAAGAAACATCCACAGAGCAAAATCATACAGCTCACTAATGCTGAAAAAGAAGTCTTCTTGACCATTAAAAATGTTCTGAACAAACTGACTTCACTTCCTTACCCAGACTCAGATGTAACTTGCTATCTGGTGTCAGATAGTTCCAACTATGCTATCAGAGCAGTATTACATCAAATGATTGACAACAGACCTGTTCCTAATGGGTTCTTCTCAAAGAAACTATCTGAAAACCAACCAAAATGATCCACGTTTGATTAAGAACAACTAGCAGGGTACTTTTGGTAGTGTTACAATTCAAACCACAAATTGAAGGTAGACATGTCACCTAGTTCACTGACCATAAACCACTAGCATTAGCTTTGCAAATAAAACATCATTGAAATCAGATAAACAACAGACACCTGTTGATAATAATTGAATAGGTAACAGATATCTGGTACATTCATGGGGAAGAAAAGATTGTTGGAGACTGCCTCTCAAGACCAGCAAATGTAGTGACAGTTGACCTTTATGACTTACCAGACCTTGTTGAGCAGCAAGACTGTGACAGTGAAATAAAGATCTACCTAGACAGACTGAAGGCCTACACTGTTGGTAACAAAACCATATTATGTGGCATTTCACACCTTACCCAAAACCGTTTATTCCACAAACATTGCACAAGGTGATCTATGATACCTTGCACAGTATGTCACATCCAAGACCTAAAGCCACAATAAAACTGAACAAATTCTGCTACTTTTGGTTTTGACATGGATAAGAACACACATTTGTAGACCAAAGAGTGCCTCAATTAGTAATCGCCACACAAAGTCAGCGATATTCCTACTACCCTCTACGCAATTTGAAACCATACATATTGACATTGTAGAGCCATTGCCACCAACCATCAAACCCGACAACAACATATTCTTCACCAGTGAGATACATCCTAACATACATAGACAGACCTACCCGATGGGTTGAAGCTACACCTATGTAAGACTCTACATTTACAGCAGTGGTCATGTCATTTCTAAATCTATGCATATCTCGATTTGGAGTTCCCTTGTTATGTTATCACCAACAGAGGAATCAGTTTGAAAGTGAGCTTTTCAATGAATTATCAAAACTAATAGGCTTTCACAGATTAAGAACTACAGCATACCATCCACAATCCAAATAGAGTAATTGAAAGACAACACAGGACAATTAAAATTGGCATAATGGCAAGAAAACAAAACTAGTTAGATGCCTTACTAATAGTATTACTTGGTTTATGAAACCTACCAACAGACCACCAGCCGTTGCAGTAACAGGGACTTCAGTGCTACTATCCAAGCCTATGGACGAAAAAGACTCTATTGAGTTTACCAGTGAAAAGGTTCCACAATTATCACAAAAAATGATGAAACTGAAAACTGAATTTCTCTATGAAGAACACCTCCACACTGTTCCAAAGCCCTTTATTCTGCAAGAACTAAATAAATGCACACATATCAGATTATGAGTCAACAATACTCCTTAAACGCCCTGCCCTGCCCTACGCTGAACCATTTAAAGTACTAAAGTGAAATTAAATTATTTTACTATTGAGCTAAAAAAAATAATAAATAATAATAGTCAATTTAATAAATTCAATAAATAAAATAATAAAGAATAAATAAAAAAAATTACACTTTTCAATGACATTGGATATGTTTTGTTTCATGAAGTAAGTAAAAATTGGTTGTTCCAACTTGGTGCAAAGCTGACCTGACCTTGACCAAGAGACATTGAGAACTTTGTTTCACTACAGTCACCATAAAAAGAATAAACGTTCATAGTAAAAACTCAAGTTTTGTATGCTTCTATCTTCTTTGTTTACATATTGAACACCTACCATCACCTAAAATACATGCAAATATGCAGTCTGTTAACTTCTATAGCCCTATATGATATATTTGGAAGAGGTTTTTTGATGCAAAATTTTTCAATTTCTGGTATGATTTAAACTTGCATTCCTGAAGAGTTGTAAAAAGAAAGAAAAAAAAAGGAAACTGAATTAGTTTAATTTCTTTTAGATGTTGTTTATCATGCCAAAACACTGATTCTCATATGATCACCAAAGTTAAGCAATGTTAAGCCTGGTCATTACCTAAATGGGTGACCACTTGAGAATACCACTACTATAAACTTGGATGTGCGGGTGGTATAATTGATAACAACTTGGAATTATTAAATGGGTAAGCAAGTTCCAATTCCAGTCAGGTTCATTGTTTTCACTTACATGCAAAATACCTTTGAGAAAGGTATGAGCCAAATCTCCCCCTACTATGGGTTAATTAATAGAACTTATATCAGTAAATCATTATTATCTCACAATCTTACATGGTAGAAATATATTCTGACTTTAAAAAACCTGAAAAAGTTTGGTAAGCCATAAAAAAACTCTTTGATAATTTATATGTTCATTTTTGTATGTTTCTTACCCTGTGTCTGATCTTTTAATATAGGCAAATTTTTTTTTCTTGCAGCAATGTTTTTCTCCCTCCATGCAAGTCCCTGTGAAAAATGTTGCATTTTTGTCTAGCCCAACGCACAGTCCCAGCACTAAGCCATTGATTCGGTAAGCAGCTCTGTTCATTTTATTGTGCTTCTTTTATTCTGGCACTCACTTCTTTCTATGGAAGCGGATGTGTTTGTTTGTTTCTTTCTTTTCACTGTGACCAAAGTATACTTGCTTGGAATATGGTAATCTATTTTCTATCTAAGATTTTATTTGTGGTCACTTAATTCTAGAGACCAGATTTAACAATTTCTGAAAATTGTTTATTCTCAGCGATAAAATATTCTCAGGATTTAAATATTGGATTTTTTTAGTGGGGATGTGGAATATTCTATGCTAAATTCACTCCAATATATTTTGAATTAAAGATCAATCAGTGTAAATGAATAGGAGGCTATTGTGGTTCTATCTATCAAAAAAAAAAAAAAAAAAAAGAATTACATTTATGCATTCTATATTGTATATTCATGGCAAGAAGGGTAAAATGTCTTGATTTAAATGTCAGTGTAATGAATGAAATAAGAGACCATGATTTTTCTATCAGTAGAGATCCGACTTCGTTACACGCTATATTTACATATCTGTAGTTAAAACAGTAAGAAAATAACCTGTTTGAAAACACAGCACAATGATTTCTGTCTGAATTTCTAGGATGAGGAGTTATTATTTACATGTGTACTATTATCATCATCTTTGTTGTTATCACAACATTTCGGCCATTGTACCCTTAAGCCTTCCTCAGATGTATGTTGATCCTGGTAACCTACAGGGAATTAAAAACTTAATCCTTTATTTAATCTGCAGGGTTAGATTAAATAAAGGGTTAATTTCTAAATTCCCTGTAGTTTACCCAGATCAACATACATCTGAGGAAGGCTGAAGGGTACAATGGCTGAAATGTTGTGATAACAGCAACAAAGATGATGACAGTAATCTGCATGTAAATTGTGTAAACAATATATCAATGAATTGGAAAATGTACTAAATCAGCTTAAAAAAATTCTAATAAACTATATTGATTATATTTTATTATTAATTTGGACTATACTGTATACTAGTATTTACTTCATCTTTATTTTTTTTAAATTTTTTTTTTATTACAAATTTATTCAGGTTGTTAATCTAAAGCTGTGATTAAACAGTACCAATCAGAAACAATAAGCTCTTGATGAATGAGATTTGAATTTTGCCCTAAGAAACTGTAAAATGGTGAATAGAAGTTCTCACAAAGCTGTAAGTTAATGTTTCAAAAAGCCATGAATTTACTTACACTTGCTTGCAGCTACCCAAAGAAAGTTTACTACTAACCTGTGGCATAAAAATTATTAGTTCTTAAAGCAGTCAACTAGACTCTTCATACTTGCAAAGCTTGTGATTGTCCAGATGTGAAACTGATTTGCATGTTCATTGACCTACAATACCAGTGGCTTCATCCAATGGAGAGGCCTTTTTATAAAAATTGCAAGCAATATGGGAATGTTTTGGCTTACAAGATAAGTAGCTATTTTCTTTTGTACAGAAACACACCAGCTGCTCTAACTGGTGGAAATGGTAGGTAAGAATATGACAGAACAATTGAAAACAATGGACTTATTGGTCAGCATCAAAAGAAACACTGAGTAGGTATGCAGCAAAAAAAAAATCTCTATTTGAGATATAAATTTGAATATTGTTAGCATTCCTCAGCATAAAAAGAGAACACTACTGAGATGAGAGAAGTTTAGTTTCATTAACAGTCTGCATATAACCAGTCCAATGGAGAACAAAGAACAAATCTTGTTGCTAGGAATATGGCTGCTTATTTTTTTTCTACAACATGGAGTTGACTCATAGAGTTTCTTGTTTTGCAGAAGATCAAATCTCAGAGCAGTTGATATCTTCAACCAGGTTTACCTGAGACAAAATGGATATGATTTTAAGTCTCTTTAAGAGACTATTTAAATTCTGATAATCACTCTCTACTAACTGCTGTAGATTGATGTTCTGAGTTGTGATAAAAAGAAAAAAATGACTGGTTGAATTAATAAAAAAACAAAACCATGATAATACTTGATTTAATAAAATTATAAAGCTAATACTGCTGTTATAATGATAAGATTTGTGCAAATTTGGAATTGCTTGTTCATTTTCAGATTATCTTTTAAGTTTTAAACATTTGAAACCATTTTATCAGTATGTCAAGAAAAAATTGTATGAACATAAGTACATAAATTATTCACCAGATATATAAATGAAATTTAAGGTCTTTTTCTGTGTCTAAATAAACTATTTAAATGTATGTTAATCAACTAGGTAAGAGATAGAAAATTTATTTCCAGAATTCCGCTTTCTACTACACTCAAAATACTTTCAATTTTTAAATATATGGAAACTTAAGATAACAATTTTCCTTGATGTCAGTTCATAGCAATAGATATCTATCAATAAACATTTTTCATTTATTGCAAACATTTTATTTTTGATTTATCATAATACAGAGAGGTTTTGTATACATTTGACAATGCTAGCATATGTCAAGTTCATAGAATCTATTGCTTCATTTTTAATAATCTTAAAGGATGTTGCAATTTTTTTAATACCCTATTACTGTTAATTTTAACAGATATTGAACAATTTATATTTTGTCTTTTGGTATGCTTAGACAAATTTCCTCTTATAGTTATCATTTCATACCATGAAATCTTACATGACTTCTTTCTTGTTGTAAAGTTTGGGTTTTTATTTTTGTCCTTTTTTAAAGTTTATAGTAAAATAAACCAAGTTATTTATATTAAATCAAAATAATTTTCTACGTTTTTATTAGAACATTTTTCTCATTAACTCTGGTCATTGATAATGAATTTTCAGAAAAAACAAAATCTGACAGAATTATTAATATTTTCGAAAGTAGTCTCTCTAAAAAAAAATGATGAAATAAACTGATCTTTTGCCAAATCAAAAATTTATAAAACATACTTCTGGTTCTAAATAATTGTGCAAAAATTATTTGATATACTTGCCATAATCTGTTCTCTTTAAAAGTAATATAACATTTACAAGGAAACACGCCAACAATTT